GAGAGAGAGAGAGAGAGAGAGAGAGAGAGAGAGGCTCAAACTATCTTTTAAAGTGCCTGCTCCATTTTACATGCCCACCAGTAATGAGAGAGAGCTCATGTTTGTTATGAATTGAATATTTATGTCCTCCTCCAAATTCATATGTTGAAATTCAAGCCCTTAATGTGATGGTAGGTGGGTGTTTCCGAGGTAATTACATCAAGAGAGTGGAGCCCTCATGAATGGGACTAGTACTCTCAGAAAAACAAACAAACAGTGCACCAGAGAATGTGCTTTCTCCCAGCTTGGTACCCTGTGAGGACACAGGGAGAAGACCACCAGCATCTAGGAGCCAGGAAGAGTGATCTCCCCTGACGCCATATCTGTTTGTGCCCTGACCTTGGACTTCCCAGCTTTAGAACTGTGAACAAGAATTTTCAGGCTATTCCCTGGTCTCTAGCAGTTTTCAACAGCAGTGGGGACAGACTGAGGGCTGTTCCGGGCCCTTGCCAGCATTTAATGATTCAGTTTTTTTACAATGACTGGCTGTAAGGGCCTTGAGAGAAGGGTTTGTGGCCGAGCCACGTGTCCATCCTCAGCGGCACACAGAGCTTATCTTCTAACACTGATATGACACCATGACTGTTCAGATCAGAGAAAATAGGATGGTCAGTTATTCAGGCAGTGTGGAAGCCTAGTGAGAGTGAGATAACACAGAGGATGAGTCAAGTGATGGAGATCTTGGGGTTCGGTTCTAGGCCAATCTCAGCTACATAGAGAATCTGAGGCCACCCTGGATTACAGAAGATCCTGACCCAAAGAAAGGAAAGGGACACCGGTTTTGATGTGCTTGAAGTCAGTTTTTCACTCAGGGGAAGTACTGTCCACAGAAGGTTCCCCTGTTTCCCATCATGCATTCTGTCAACAGCACATTCTTTTGTTCCTTTTTCATATTCTACTTGCAGCCCGCTTCCAAAGGGCCCAGCTGCAGGTTTCAGCCCTCTCCTGCTCTGCTCTCCTCTGGTCAGCTTTTGGTAACTGTGACAAAATCTCAGATGAGAACAACTTTTAAAAATAGATTTATTTTTTATAATTTTTAGTGTGTGTGTGTGTGTGTGTGTGTGTGTTCAAGTGTTCACAGAGGCCAGAGACGGTATCAGATCCACTGAAGCTGTAGTTCTGGGGTTGTGAGCAGCCTGACTTTGGTGCTGGCAGCTGAAATTCAGGTCCTCCGGAAGAGCAGAGGGGGCTCTTAAGTATGGAGCCATCACTCCAGACCCTGAGAACACCTTTAAGGGAAAAAAAGTGTTTGCTTTGACTCATGGTTTTGGAGCCGGGAGACCTGTAGCTTCTAGGCCTGAGGTGAGGCAGAATGTTACTGTAGGGAGCATGGGCTGGGGCCAAGATGCTCATCTCATGAAGAGCTGTGTATGTGTGTGCGTGGGTATGTGCACGCGCTATCTTTCAAAGGTATACCCCCAGTGACTTATTTCCTCCGTCTGGGCCCATCTCCTACCATTTTCAAGCACCTCCTCAGATACCCTCACTAGCTGAGGCCTCCCAGCTCATCAGCCTCTAGCACTCTCGAAACTCAACAAGAGACCTCCCATCTCCCCAAACGAGATGGGCTCCTTTCCTCGTGCATATTGCTTATATTTTTCTTGTCACAATAGCTAGCTCACTCGGTGGCACTCAGTTCTGTTCCCCCAGCCTGGCCCAGGCTTTCTGAGGACATGTTTGAATTGCTTCTATTATCTCCTCTGTCCCCAGCACAGTGTCTAGCCTGGAATGGGGACTTAATTTTTTTTTTAATGAATAATAAATAAAGGGATGAATGAAGGAATAGACAGGTCAAGAATTTACTTTTTTCTATTTAACAGAAATCCTTTTCTCATGAGTACATATTTATTTGCTTAGTTTCTCAGACCTCAGTTGACTCTCTTTATGATTTTGCAGGGTAATTTGCATAACCATGGGAATAAATACCTCATGTGTAGATGAGGATAGGGTTTTATTTTTCAGTGGGCTGGCTTAGTCAGACTGTAGAATTATTAATATACTTCATGCCTCTAGGCAATTTGACAAAAAAGATAATACAAACTAATAATCATTAAAATTATACGAAGACTATTTAGACTCCTTGCTAAATTCATGCTTCAGGGATTCACTTGAAAGAGTAAATGAGAACTCAGCTGATATCTCCAATCCCATCCTAGGGGAATTCACTCCCTAGAATCTACATGAGGCTTTTAATTTAGATGCGGCCATTGTTTAGACTGGATGAGCTCCTTAGGTGGGGAAGGGAAAGAAAGAAAGGGGTTCCAGCCCAGATTGAGGGTGCTGGGAACGGTCTGCTTTTAGGGACTTTTGGTTCTATTCTCTAGCCCAGCGTCCTTGTGCTTTGGGCATGTAAGGAGACCTTGTAGAAGGCACAAGAGCCAAGTCTTCCCCAGCAGCTACCAGTGTAGGACTAAAGGTGCAGCTTGACCCTTTGAAGTGGGTTGCAAGCAGGATATGAAGAAGGTACAAAGGAATGTGTTGTTGACAGAATGCATGATGGGACCTATGGACACTACTTCCCCTGAGTGAAAAACTGACTTCAAGCGCATCAAAACTGGTGTCCCTTTCCTTTCTTTTGGTCAGGATCTTCTGTAATCCAGGGTGGCCTCATGTTCTCTGTGTAGCTGAGATTGGCCTAGAACTCCTGATCCCTGTGCCTTCCCTTCCCACCGCTCTGTTTATTTGGATTCCTGCTTCTGAATGAGAAGAGAGTGAAACACCCACACTCTCAAATTGGACGTGGAACGCTAAGGAGACATCTTGAAAATGTTTTTTAATCTTAAAGAGGATGAAAATTCTATATCACACTAGCTCTTCTTAGCTTTTTAAATGGTGATGGTGATGGTGGTGATGGTTTTTACATCTGGACTGCTGTTTCCCCTCCCTTCTCTCCACTGCCCCCCCCATCTCCTATCCCCTCTACTCTGATCCACTCCTCCTCCATTTCTCTTCAGAAAAGGGCAGGTCTCCCATGAATATCAACAAAAATGGCATATTGAGTGGCATTAATACTAGGCACCTCCCCTCATATTAAGCTGGACAAGACAACCCAGTATGAAAAATAGGGTCCCAGAAGCAGGCAAAAGAGTCAGAGACAGCCCCTGCTCCCACTGTTAGGAGTCCCACAAGAGGACCAACCTACACAACTGTCACATATATGCAGAGGGCCTAAGTCAGTCCCATGCAGGCCCCCTGCTTGTCAGTTCAGCCTCTGTGAGCCCAGATTAGTTGATTCTGTGGGTTTTCTTGTGGTGTCCTTGACCCCTCTGGTTCCTACAATCCTTCCTCTCCTCCCTCCAAAGGCTTCCCCAGGCTCAGCCCAATGCTTGGCTGTGGGTCTGCGTCTGATTCCATCAGTTGCTGGATGAAGGCTCTCTGATGACAGTTACACTGTCACCAGTCTATGAGTGGAACAGAATATCATCAGATATCATTACACTGACTTTTTTTCCCCAGTTGTGTTTGGTTCTTTCCTAGTTCTCTGGGCCATCCAGCCTCTGAGTCCTGACACTCCAGGCAGTTACACCAGTTCTTAATTGAGGGCACCCGAGGGGATCTTTGGCACTATCTAGTGACTGACATCTTGTGGGTGGAGCTGGAAATGCTGGGAAACACCCACAGTGCAGAGAAGCAGTCACGGCAGGTAGTCCACTGAGAAGCAGTCTCGGACACCAACAGTCCTTAGCTGTTGGGAATCCTGGTCCACTGTGCTAGAGAAACAAAGACAAGAAATTCTAATGCTTCTCTGGCCACCCTGTCCTGGAGCACTGACTTGTCATGGGGGGCAGGCTGAGACACAGTGGGGCTTCAGTGGACCTCGGAGGGGAGCAGGCAGAAGCCTGTCCTGGGGAGGGGTCACGTGGCTTTGCTGCAGCTCTCTGTGGGGGCAATGGGCTCTGTTAGGTGAGGAGTCTGCTAGGTTCTAGAAGACTGTGTATTTACTGAGTTTGTTCTAGCGGGTTGAGTTTGGTGCATGGAACACGGAGCTTTTGTTTTGTAAATAGAATCTTAACCTTGGAGTCGGATACCACTGGATTTGCATCTGAGGTCCATTGTTAGCCGTGACCTCTCGGCCTTCTCCACTTCGCTGGGCCTCCTCTCCTCCTTCCAGCTTTGAAGTGGACGTCCCTTATTCTATCATTTATAAGTCCTTTTCTCCATGTTTGGATATTTCGTAACTTGGTGGCATGTCAAAAGTTAATTGGATGTGATTTTTTTTCCCCCCTGATACATAAAATATTTAATGCAAGTGGTAGTGTCTCCCCTTCAGACAGGGTAACTCCTCATGGGAAACCAACCAAAATGTTGAGACCTCAGAGTAAAATTAGAGGGTAAAGCAGTCCCGCTGAGAATTTTTCAAAATCATTTCCTCTTATGTGAAGTTCAACTCTCATCCAGGGCAAGGACATAGACTCATTTGTATGTCCCACTTGGTATTTAATCCATGCCTGGCTTCCTTGAACTGTGTGTGCTCTGAGGGCTGTTGTGTGTGTGTGTGCCACTTGCCTGATTGCACAGGATTACAGAGCACAGGTTTTGCTGTCCATACACATCAGAGAAGACAAGGCTCCTTCCTAAGCTCATCCTTTCTCCAGCTCTGGCTTTTTTCCAGGGCTCCAAATGGCTGTAGGTATACAAAAGCTTTCTGCATCTGGAAGGAGGCTGGCCACGGGGTGGTACGGGGTACTGGCAACATCAGGACCCAGACCAGAGCTGAGTATATGCCTAGATGAGTTCTGCCTTGAAGACTCTTTTCTAGTTTAGTTTTAGAAAAGGCCAAGGTTAGTTAAATGTTTAGCTCTGAGAGTTAATAAGACGTGGCCACATTTCAAGCTGCTTGCTTTCTCCATCAGCTTCTTCTTAGTTGCTGAACAGCAGTGGGAATGAATGCGTTGCACTTAAGCTGGATGGATGTGTGCACCACAGCTGTGCTGTGCAATACTCCTGCCCACTCACGCTGTGTGTTCGGATGCCCGCAGCCATAGTGTCTCTAGCAGACAGCTCACATTGCAAACAAGATGTCTGCGGGACCCTTGACTGGCTTCTCTCATGATGCCCTCACCAATGAAGGTTATTGTGTTAGGTAATTATTTTTCTCAATTGCAAGTCACTTGACTATCATCTTCAAGGTCAGTGGCTTCTAGTCAAGCGTGGAAGGCACACAAATGTGCCCGTGACGGTGGGCATTGGGCAGAATGAAAGGCTGACTTTGTCTTATGTCTGACAGGGACATCCCCTGTAAGAACTTGGAAGGTATTTTAAGTGTTTCCGAGCTTTGGGGTCTGTACAGTGGTCTGTACTGCTCATTGTAGATACGAGAATTAAATGGCATAAAATGTGTAGAAGTGTAAACACTGCTACTGTACGTGAGAGACATTAGCCACTTGACAGGGCTGAGAAGATGGCTCAGTGGATAAGATGGCTGTGCAAACGTAACGACCTGGGTTCACATCCCCAACTCCCATGTAAAAGCCGGGCATGGCTGTGCACTCCTATAACTCCAGTGCTTGGGGCAGACATGTGGAGACAGGAGGTTTCTGGAGCTCCATGGCCAGCCAGCGTAGCCAAAAAATGAGCAAGCTCGAGATTCAGTGAGAGACTGTGATTCAGGGGAATAAGAAAGATGGGGTAGAACAGGGCACCTGATGTCCTTAT